GGAAGTCATAATTTTTATATTACTAATATTACTTACTTTCTTTCAGAACCTTTGAGGCCATTGTCCAGTACTGTGATAGTTATAGAGAACTCATCCCCCTGTCCTTTGTGCTGGGTTTCTATGTCTCGATTGTGATGACCCGTTGGTGGAACCAATATACCTCCATTCCCTGGCCCGATCCCATTGCCGTGTTTGTCAGCTCGAATGTTCATGGCCAGGACGAGCGAGGACGCATGATGAGACGTACAATTATGCGTTATGTGTGCCTGTGTTTGACCATGGTCCTGGCGAATGTTTCGCCAAGGGTGAAGAAGCGTTTCCCGGGGCTCAGTAATCTTGTGGAAGCGGGTTTACTGAACGATAATGAAAAAGCCATTATAGAGACCATGAACAAGGCCTTTCCCAGGCCTTCGAAGCACTGGTTGCCCATCGTTTGGGCCGCTAGCATTATAACAAGAGCCCGAAAGGAGGGTCGCATTCGTGATGACTTTGCCGTGAAGACGATCATCGACGAGCTGAACAAGTTCCGTGGACAGTGTGGACTCCTTATCAGCTATGATACCATTAGTGTACCCCTAGTTTACACCCAAGTGGTGACCCTGGCGGTCTACTCGTACTTCCTTACCTGCTGCATGGGTCAGCAATGGACCGAGGGCAAGGTGGTGGGCAGCACCACATACCTGAACAAGGTGGACCTGTACTTTCCGGTCTTCACAACGCTGCAGTTCTTCTTCTACATGGGTTGGCTCAAGGTGGCCGAGTCCCTCATCAATCCATTTGGCGAGGACGATGATGACTTTGAGGTATTTAAGATAATATAATAATAAGTTCTCTGAAAAACTAATAGAATATATATTACTCAGGTCAACTGGATGGTGGATCGTAACCTGCAGGTGTCCTATCTGATCGTCGACGAGATGCACCACGACCATCCGGAGCTGCTAAAGGATCAGTACTGGGACGAGGTGTTCCCCAATGAGCTGCCCTACACAATAGCTGCCGAGCGGTTCAGGGAGAATCATCCGGAACCGTCCACTGCCAAGATCGAGGTGCCCAAGAATGCGGCCATGCCCTCGACTATGTCGTCCGTGCGGATCGATGAAATGGTTGGTAATGCTAATGGTGACCCCGCCGCCACCGCCGCGGATGCGAAGGCCCCGGGTCAGGGACAAGTTCAAGTTCCGGCTGGGGACTCCGGGGTCCAGTCCGTTACTTATGACTTTCCCAAGGGCTCGCCAGATGAGGAGGTTAGAATCAAAACGTTGGCCGCATTCCCTAGCCTTACGAAGCATTGGCACCTGACTCTCGATTGGTTAACCAAATTCATCATCTCTCGTCCTGCGATCTGATCCAAGTCAAAACTAAATCCAAATCGAAACCGAAATTACAAGTTTCTAACCTCTTTTTCTTATTATACACAAAGAAACATTGCTTTTGTGGGATCACAGTTCGCTCATTGGCATTCTGAATCACAACGGTGCTTGGTATATATAAAACCTAATCTAGATGTACAGAGTGTGTATAACTATTTCTAAGGGGTGGGCACAGTAAAAGCTCAAGTATTTATTCAATTAATTAGTTGATAAGCCTTACTAATGAGTCTATCCACTTGGCGGTGATCTAAAAATCGCTTCTCGGAAAAGATGAACCCAAAGTGATTTATTTTTGAACTTAAAAATGTTTTTAAAATAAATCATTAAGAATTGTAGATTAGTTTGAAAGGAATTTTATTTTGTCATTTCATTTTTCCACTAGTTATTACGAATTTATGTTTTTAAGTTTAATCACTTATTTTATACTCTTATTCATTCTATTCCTTTGAGTACATTTTACTGTGCCCTATCTCCGGTCTAACCATAATCTTACAACGGTGTTTGTGTCTCTATGCTTTAAGAATGTGAATACTAACTTTTGATTCTAATTGTCTAAAAGATCTGTCCACAGCCTAAAGCCTCTAACAGCACCTCGCACTGCACGACTTTCAAATGCTTTCTGCTGCACTGACTTTTGAGCACTGAATGGTTTCAAGTAATCCGGGCACAGCGGAACTAAGAAAATAATCTATCCACTAATCACTAGGAATAAATCTGTATCTAATATATGTTATTTCTTATCCCTAAATCAGGCTGATGATGCCAGTGGCATACACTTCTCGGCCGGAAATGGCAAAATGCGATTGGGTTCCTCGCCGTCGCTTGTTAGTGTCTCGGGTACTCTGTCCCGGGTGAATACTGTGGCCTCGGCCCTCAAGCGTTTCCTGAGTCGCGATGACAGCCGGCCGGGATCGGCCACGCCCAGTCAGGATCAGCCGTACAAGTTCCCAGCCAGCGCCAGTTCGGCGAGTCTCTCGGGCGGAGTTGTGGGATCGGCTACGTCGGCGGGAAAACCAGCTGGCAGTCTGAGGATTACGCAGCAAGTCATCGAGGAGGTGGATGAACAGGCCACCATTACGTCCATGCGGGCCAATGAGCCGCGACCCAATGTCATGGATATATTTGGGGCAGCCTCGTCTTCGGGAGCAGCCACCAATTCTGTGCCGCTACAGCCACCACCGGCCCACTCGGAACCCGTGGATATACCAACACGTGCGCCCTCCTATAATCGTGCCCAATCCCAGTACGAACCCAATCTATTCCCACCGGGCGGAGTGGATGCACTGCTCAGTACTTCAGCCCCAGCGGGAGGCAGTCCCTTGCTCCTCTCCAACGCAGCCACTGCACCCAGTTCCCCTGTGGGTGAGAGCTCCAAGTCCCTGTACGATCCCCAAAAGGCCGCCAGCCGGGAGACAGGTGAGTCACACAGATTCTTCACCATTAGAATGCCCAACCGCTTCTTAAACTCTCATTTTTAACATTTGTGTATCTTCATTTTCAACAAATTCGGGAACTTTTAAAGAGAGGCCCGATGCACCGCAGGTTTTCAGGTGGTTCGTCACGCCCGGTAAAGTTCACATCCATTGGCCGTATTAACTTGTTCGAATATTTTAGCTTGCTCTTCTACGTAATCGTTGCTGATTTTCCCCCGTTTTTAATGTTGTTTGTTTGATTTTTGTTGATTCTCTATAATTTTTGTAACAGGTGTGATTCGTTTCCACAACCCATTAAAAAGTGCTCGGAATAAATAGAGCATTTTATTATTTTAGTTTATTATGTTAGTTGTTTCTGTATCTGAAAATGATTTCGATTTTATTATTTAAAAAACTAATTTTCCAAATTAAATTAAAGGTTTCCTAATAATTGTTTCAAATCCTGTAACTTCGTCCCAATATAAATAAAAACTAGCTAGTTTTGCATTAAATTAAAATTTAATTAAATAATCTTAAAACTAATTTCTGTTAACCGATTTAACCGATTTATTGATTTAAACCTACATTTATTTTAACTAAGCTGGCCTAAAACTAAAATTACTTAAAATGCAACCGCACCTGAGTATTTTTCTTATAATTTTCTCAGAAGGTATAATATTTTCCTTATATTTTTTTAGTTTTTGTACACTTTTGTTAAGCAATTGGCATGAGTTTTTGAAAGCAATGCCCAGATATTGAGTACTAACCCCAGCTTAGCCCTTCAAATTTAATACTTTTGTACTACGTAAGGCCGCAGAAAAGGTTTCTGTTTCTGTCTGGTCAAGTAGGTAACCAACAACCCGTAATTCCAACTTTATATTGGTACCCGCCTTGCATTAGCATTAGTCCTAGCCAGTTAGACGTTGCACGTTGCCATTGATTTCTTTAGCCAATAAATACATGTCGCTAAAACTTACGATATATTTTTGCAGTGGAAAATATGGACCTGAGGTCCTCCAGCGATCTATTGGCCAATGCAGCAGCTGCGCAGCCCGAGGACGAGGGCGATGATTTCGATAAGCTGAAGGCGGCTCGCGAGAAGGAGAAACTGATGCGACAGCAGAAGAATCTGGCCCGGACCATTAGCACCGCTCCGGGAATGGAGACCACGGCCGTGCCGATGGTCCCAATGATCCCAGTGAATGTGGCCGTGCAGCAGGCCCATCTGCCTTCAGTTGCATCCAGTGCCGATCTTTTGGCCGGCGGAGAGCTCCTTTCCAATTCGACGATGAAGTCGGAGGACGCCGTCAACGGGAGTTGAAGGACCCCTAGTATTTTGTTTCGTACACTTACCTAATTTAAGTCTAGTGCATTATTTAATTTACCTAAGCTGCTAAGCTAATTTACCTATACTATATACGTGTATGCCGCTGACATTGAAAATACGCAGAGTTACGGACAGTTTAAGAATGCTCATAACTTCTAAACGAGCTCGAGTGATGATGGACCTAATTAACGCAGTTAATAACACAAATACTAATATCTAAGTAGAAAGTTTTTGAATTTTACAAATATAAGTAATTTTGTAAATGGCTCACAATTTGTTTTTTATTTTAAAACTGGGTTCCCGCTGATTATTTATGAAATTCTTAAAATTACTTTAAAATTGTTGGCAGTTAAATTGTAAATTTTTTTGAAAACCTAAAGGATTTATTTGAAAAACTTTAATTAGCAGCGAATATTGACTTTGTTGGCTGAAATTTAAAATAAACATTTTTAAATAATATTTATTTTTATGTGGCTTATTTAATTAAGTCCAGAGAGTGAAAAACTTTGGATACCAGTTAAATTAGCAGCGACTATTGGCTTTGTTGACGGAATCTCAAACTTTTAAGTATTTTTAGAGAATTAAAATTTGATAACGAAATAAAAGACTTACATAAATAATAACAAGACTTTTTTTATTTGTGAAATTAAAATATTAAACTGTTTGAACTTTTGGTGTAATTAGGTAATAGATTTCGCACTTAAATTTAATGATTAGATTTCAAAACAATTGAAGATAAAAAAACAAGAAATACTTAATCCTGGCAAAATCGATCTAGGAAATAAAGACAAATTCCGTTACGGAACCACTGGTTCGTGAACTGGAACCAGAAACCATCCGCAGCCCTGGTTGTTTTTGCTACCGCCAGCCCTGGTATCTCGACAAAGACAGAGCTGTTAATCAAAACAAAACAAGAGCGATTTAAATGATTTTTTAACATGTCGAGGATGCTCGCTTCAACAGAAGCCGTCAAAGCAGATCCAACAAATTGGCATCAATGGTGTCGACTTTGTGCCCAGGATCATCCAGGAAACCGGAGCGTGTTCTCACGGGAGGAGCAACCAAACTCGTGGACCAGCATGCTGGCGATGACCGTTGGCAAATACTTCTGGGTGGATGTAACTATTAACTATTTAATATAACTACATAAAACACTAATATAACACCTTTCAGATCAAAAAGGAAGATGAGCTGAGTAATTATCTGTGTTCGGAGTGCTTTACTTTAATGGATTGCCTCATTGAGTTTTCGGAAAGAGTTCGCAAAGTGCAGACCCTATTCAACAGATTGCAGACCTTAAACCCGGAAATGGATATGATCTTAAACTATGAGGAATTGCGAGCGGACTGCGGCTTGGCCAGCGATGAATGGAAGCACATGATGTGCCCAGCAGTGGTTCAACCTCAGCCAAAAGAAGAGGAATTCATTGATGAGGTCCAACTAAGAACCGCTGATATAGAAGAGCAAGATTTAATCATACCCACTTTAGTGGAGGAACAGCAACCACAGCAAAAAGAAGAATTTGTCGAAGAGCTACATATCCCTGGAGAAGATCTGCAAGTCGATGGAATGGAAACGGAAATCCTAGAGGACGAGGGTGAACACCTGGCGGAGGAAGAGGTGGAAACTGTGGAGGAGGAGGTGGTGGAACACCAGGACACCTCCGAATGCCTAGTTGAAGTGGAAGACATCCCCGAGGAAGACTACATCGAAGAGTCCCAAATAATAGAAGACAGCCACGTTCAAGATTTCCGCATTGAAACGTTTGAAATAATATCCCAAGGCCCTCAAAAAGAACCTTCAAAAACTAAAGCTGCCGAGGAAAATTCAGAGTCCGAAGACGATGCTCTTTCATCTGAGCATCTCATAGAAGAAGACGAAGATGAAATTCCAGATGAGCCAGCCATTTACAAGTGCAGCATTTGCAATAAGCCGTACAAGAAGCCCAAGGCCTATCAGCGACACATGGAGGAAGTTCACAACACTGTGGCCAAAGATCTGCCAAAATTGTTATGCAACCAGTGCGGTCTATGCTTTCCCACAGCCGCCCAGCTAACCTCCCACTACCGAACGCATTTACCCGCCAAAGTGAAGAGCGATAACTCCTGTCCGCACTGCGAGAAACGTTTCACCACCCCGGGAACACTCAAGCGACACATAGAAGGGGTCCACCAGCAGATCAAGCCCTATGTCTGCGACCTCTGCGGCAAGAGCTTCAATTACATCACCGGACTGAAGGATCACAAGCTGGTGCACACCGAAGAATGCCCCTTCGAGTGTCCCGTGTGCAAGCGACGCTTCAAAAACAAGGCTAGATTAAAGGTAACAACTAGTAAATATAAATATCCAAAAGTGGAAGGTAATTAAATGCACTACGACTCTTTCAGATCCATTCCGATACACACAGTGCCCAAATCTACGAGTGTGCCATATGCGGCTTGAAGCTCAAAACCCGACGCACCCTTAACAAGCACAAATTGGTCCACTCAGACGAACGCCAGTACAAATGTGATGTCTGCGGATCGGCGTTCAAACGGAGCAAGACACTAAAGGCGCATCTCATCCTGCACACTGGCATCCGGCCGTACAAGTGCAACTTTTGCGGCAGGGACTTCTCCAACGGCTCCAATTGTCGATCGCACAAGCGGCAGGCGCATGCCAAGGAGTTGGCCGAGGAGGAAGCACGCGGTGTGTCGCGTTCCACGCTACTTCCTTTGTTGGACGAACTTACCAAGGCGTATGTAACAGCACTCGAATATATTTCATGTACTTATTAATTATTTTTTAGGTCAAAGCTCATAAAAACACCGGCAAAGCCCAGCAAAACGAAGGGAAGCAGGCCAAAAGTTGAGCCTAGTCCTGATTCTCCCACAAAGGACACTGATGGTGCCATCCTCTACGAACTTGTCGAGGAGATTGAGTACTCCTAAGTATTGAAATAAACACTATTTTTAAAACTAGTTTAAAACTTGCGATTACAAGGGTCTCTTGGTTTATTCACAATTGAAGTTTAGGTTCTTAGGAGCTAGGTTATAATTCGAGGGCTGAGTTTACAAATCTTAAATGCTTCATAGGCAGCAGAAATAGAAAAACACATTGAACTTAGACAAAACTAATCGAATACATAAATCACAAGGCAATCAACAAATTTCGAAAACCATATTCATAATAAATAACAAAGAATTTAACAACGAGCAACTGGAACTGCCAAATGCCACCGTACCAAATATTAAATATTTTTCGCAATTGGCTTTGGAATGTTCAGATCAGTATTCAAGAAACATAGAACTGTCTTTGGATGCTCAACTTTCAAGTGATTGGCTTTATATGAGGCAAAATTTAAAAAAGCTAGAAAAAAACCGAGGACAACTTAATAAAGATCACATTTGGGGATGGACAAAATACAATTACGATTATTAGCTATATGTTTGGTAGGAGGGGTCACTTTAAATGGTTGCGCAAAAAATAACAAAATAAAGACAGCAAAAAGTAATCCAAGGACAATATTGCGTAGTTTAACTATTAATTATTTGAGCATTATTTAAAACATTTAGAGAAAAATGGAAACTAATTTAAATAGTCAAAAAAAGGTTGTGCGAATTGGTTGAAATTGTCCAAAGATTACGATCGCAGCTAAATGTGTTTGCTAATAAAACCGACCCACTCAGATGTTGGGAATATTACACTTACAATCGACCTACGTTTAGACAAGTTGAGCTTATACCATACAGCTAAAATGTACAAATTTCACTAAATACATATAGAGCAAGTAAAACTGCACCCTGCAATACAATCAGCCTAACTGAATCCCCAGCGCAGGCCGAAAAGCAGGAGAGCAGCGGTGATTATGGCCACGGAACGTGATGATGTCTTGCTGCCCGCTCCACAGGCGAGGTTGTCGCGCGGGTATTTGTTGAGCGGATCGGGCTCCTCGCCCGGGCGACATTGCTTCCCCTGGGCAGCAAACTGTGCGCCGCACAGCTCGTGGCAGGGCGGGCACATGATCGCCCCCTTGTGCAGCCATCCATTGGCCGCAATTCGAATGGAAAGCTTCTGGCCGGGAAAGGAGCACTTGTAGCTGTAGTTGCCCACCAGGATGTGCAGCCTTCCATCGAAGCAGTCGTACTTGTAGCAGCCACTGCCCCAGTGCTGCCACTCGCGCGTCTGGTGACAGGATCTCTCCTCCCACATGGACTCGCTGTGGTCGAAGCACTTGGCTCCCTCGCCGTAGCTCTCCAACGCGAAGTTCTTCTCAGGTTCTGTAAGTTAATATTAAATGATGGGAGTTAAAATAATAATATTTTCAAGGATGTGAATTTAACATACTGGGATTATTCTCCGTGAAGCGGCAATGGGATCCTCGCACAATCACATTCTTGCTGCGCCAGGTGAACTCCTGAATATAGGGACAGTGGTCGGCCAGCGAGACCGATCCGCCGTAGAAACCCTCTTCTCCATCCTTCACGTGATTCAGGCTGTCGAAGTTCTGATAGCCCTTGGGCAGCTCGAACTCATGGCGGATAAGATTGCACAGGGCCACTGAGTTGCGATCGTCGGTGCACTCGGTTTGCAGAGGATCCTGCTTTACCTTCGAGCAGAAGGGATGTATGGAGCGGCCCCTTTTTGTTAAAGAAATAAAAGGAATAAATTAAAATCGAAGTATATTTACAATAAGTATAAGATCACTTAATTTTTTCCAACCTTCCTCTCACCTGGCATGGTTATACTGTATCCAGTCCTTGCAGCTGCGCATGGCAAACGCACATCCCAGCCCCCTTCCCCATGTGAGGGGCGTTGCCATCGAGTAGTTGGCCCGATACCAGCCGGAGTCCTCCATCAGAGCGAGGGTGATGCGCGAGAAGACCGGCGACTGTGTGTGCGTGCCAGTCATGGCCTCATTCTCGAGAATGCGCTTTTCCCAGTGGGTCAAAGCGGTACCTTCGCCGCCCTGATCCTCCAGCTCGGCGCCCTCCAGTTTATTGCAGTTGAAATGGGCACGCACCTCGGCAATCACGCGCGGTGTGACCATCATGTCCACTACCTTATTGACATGGCCACCACGCACAGACCAGTTCTCTCGCACCACCTTGCGTATGGTCTCGTTGCTCCATTGATGGATCTGCAGTCTGTGAGGGGATTTATGTGGATTAAATACGGATTTAGTAACCTAATTTCGATCTAACTTACTTTTCATTCAGGTACGGTTTGCCAGTGTCCGATTTTCGGGGCGTCCGAGGTTTTCCTTCATCGTCCCTGAAGAAAGCGTACAGGCTAACGGAGAAGCCCAGTGCATGCAGGATCTCGTGCTTAACGGTGGAGATCAGCGTCTGCAGTTCCTGTGGCTTGGTGCTAATACTGTCCGGACAGAGATTGGCATGGCCGGCAATTGGACGGTCCAGAGCCGCTTCCTGCTGACAATGGGCCGCATAGGCCACCGTCAGACCCTTGAAGCAACGCTGCGTTTGTCTGGCCGACACGTAAAAGACAAAGTCCGCATTCTCAATACCTTCTCCGGGCTGCGTATTACTATCGATTCGACAGTTCTGACCAGTAGCATTGCACACGCGACAGACCTTGAATAGGTAAAAAAAAATATTATAATATTTATCTAAAATTTGAAGATTAAGTAGGTATTTGTTATTGCCAAGGCATTTAATTCTGTATAATTTTTTTTCAAAGTTATTTAACTTTTGTTTGAGAAAAAATGCTGATTAAAAAATATGATTACAAAATAAATACGATTTTCAGAAATATATTGATTAGGTATTTTTTTAGCGATGCTTTTTCCATAGAAAAGAATTGGTACATTATTCAACTTTTATTAGCCAAAACAAATGCTTATTATAAAAAGCCATATTTTTTTATAATTAACAATTTAACAAAAAACATTTACTTGGGGAAAAGGTGTTTCAACTTTTTAAGTGACCCATGATTAAAGCTGAAATTGCAATGCATGTGTTGCCTAAACCAGTTTTGAATTTTAAAAACATTTTGTTGGGCTGCATTTGGTTTACTCAAGGTCTTTCTTTGAAATTAGGCGTTTCAAAGTAAATAAGGTGTGGTTAAAAGTGTGAACTAGAATTTTGATAGAGCTGAACTTTACCAAAGTTCAGGGAAAACTGAAGAGAGTTAACTTACATCCAAGTGCGCGTCGGGAACCTGGACTTCGCCGCACATGGTCGTCGCCTTACAGTGGTCAATGCAGTGGGTGTGGCCGTTCTTTACGTAGACCTGGGTACTGTCGCACTTTCTGGAATTTTATAATGAATATTTTAGACGGCTTGCGGTTTTCTGTGGGAGAAACATACCTATTGAGCCGAATGACACCCTTGGTCTCTCGCACCATCAGCGCCTGTTCCCAGAACTGCACGGCTTCCGGGAGCACGGTGTCCTGGAAGGGGTTAAAGCAAAGTCTTTAGTCAAGAAGCCACGAAAACCAGAAATGTCAACTCACATTTATCAAATTAAATTTCTCTTCCTCCAGCCTGGCAGGTGGTGAGCATGAAACAACAAGAAAATAGTTCTGTTTATTAGATTTTCTTGGAAAAAGGATGGTTGGAAGGCGTGGGTGTCATTTCTATTCAGATGTAGGGAGTCTTTGAAATCCGAGAGGCCAATTTCGTTTGGGGGATAACAAAAGCCCTGACAACCATATTAAAGAATGTACTTGGCGTCGTCATTATTGTTTATTAGTCAAGGTAAATTCTGGAATATTTGGTTTCTTACAGAACGATTTTTGTCGGCTGTACATTTAGTAAAAAAAATAAATAAATATTTCTCACAATCAAATGAAAGTGATATAGACCTGTCGTTAAAAGCGTATTATTAAGTGCTTGAAAATCTCTGAACGAAAGCACTTTTACGCGAAGGTCGTCAGATATTTACTGTCAACTGTCCGATACTCATACCGGGTAATTGTGTACCTGTTAGCACCTGTTTGAGTCACTTATTCACGACTAAATTATTCAACGAATCGAAACCGAAACTGAACCCAAAATTAAAGCCAAGTCAAGTCAACTCTCCGCTTTCCTGTTGACCTTGTCCGCTGCCAATACTCGCCAATCGATGGCTCGGATCGAACCGGGCTAACTGTCGGCCAATCTGGCCAGTTACAGTGATCAGTGGCTAGCGGCTAGTGGCTAGTGACCATGTGGATGGAGCAATCGATGGCCAACCTTAGGAGGCACCTCGGCCCACTGCGTTGATTTGGACAAATTGCGCACACATGGCCAACCGATTCGGGCCCGAAGTATATTGTTACCCAACCCGGAGCGGTCGTAACGGTGCATGGCCAAAGCAAAACGGTCGGGAGAGTGAGTTATTTACTCGCTTTTTTAGCGCGGCTTTATGTTAACTTGACATTCGGCCAAGTCAAATTGTAAACTGTTTTTTGTCTGCTTGGCTGGCTGCCATTAAAGTGCAATTAAAGCCAATTTTCAGAGCTGGAGCACAGATTTACACTTGAAAAAACTACTTTTTGTGGAAGCAGAACAAATGTGATGCGTATATTAAGCACTATGATATTTTTAAAGATTTGTATTAAAAGGTTATTTTTTGCAAAATTCACAGAAGAACTATTATTTGGGTCAGTATTCACACTACCTAAAGACACCCAAAACATAATAAAATCATTATTTTGTATTAAACGAATTTTTGGTAGGCTAAATTTTGTTTAAAATTTTCAAAATTTTTCAAAACGGATCAAATAAATCTGGACAAAATACTTCTATTATAAATGCGGATTTTTTTATAATTTGAATTTTAACTATTAAAATTGTCAGGACAAAACTTTTGTTTTTATAAAAAAAATATTTTAAGGTCTAAAATAAATTGCTAAGATTTATATTTATACTGTGTAAAACTACTTGAAAGCATAAAGAAAAATGTATTTTTAAGCAAATCTTTAGCCAAACATTAGTTTAAAAATACTGTACTTTTGGGTAATAATTTTTCAGAGTGTAGCCGGTACTCACCTGTAGACGGAGTCGTCGTAGACGAGCAGAATTCGCAGCGGCTGCTCGGCGGCAACGCTGCGCCGGCGCACGCTATGCCTGGATGGCTCTCCGGCGGAGTCATCTTCGCTATCAGCCAGTTGGATGCGCACGCCATGGACGACCTATAAAACGAAAGATGGATGGATGATGAGACCGGTGGATAGTATCGCTAGATAGTGCCGGTGCGACGGTATAGAAAGGGAGAGCGGAGAGCGGTGATCAAGACGAAGACGAGAAGAAATCATGAAATCACTCAGCGGAGCTTAAACGAAAGCGAAATTTCGTTGTTAACTATTAAATGACGACATGTAGTCAGACAAAGGCCACACAAAAAGGCAGCTCCGCGGCGGTAATTGGTCTGCGCAAATTGCAGGGAAATTAATTTTAAATTGCCCGCCAAAATGTCGAACGATTGGCACATCGAAATGTCAATGATTTGTGGGGCTGGTAATTTTGTTTTGGGTTTTGATTTTGGTTGGGATTTGGGTTTGGGTTTTTATTTAGCCCGTTGTTTCGGCAATGCCATTGTTATTATTATTACTATTGTGCTCTGCGATCGCATTGTGCAATCTGTGCCAATTATTAGGAATAAATTAGATGTCTTCGTTGAATATGCATGGCGGAGAGGCCTTTATCCGCAGCTAATCCGCTGACAGACAGACAAAGCACTTGACACTCATCAGCATAAATTGTCGCCGACATCTCGGAGATGCGCTTGAGTGCTGCTAAAAATATGCTCATCAAAAATGTGTACATTAAAGTCTGTCTCTTTCTCAGTCTGTCTGTCGGTCCGGAAAGCGGTCTTAAAAGGTTCTTGCTGTCCCCGAGGGGGAAAAACAGGGCCTGAAAACGAAAGCATCTTTCCTGCCATCAAAGAGTGTATATCATGCATATTTGAATGAAAAGCCAGACGGAGTGAAAGGCAACAACATCATCAACACAGGCAATTGAAATTATAATAAAAGCTAATTTGCACACAAGAAATGAATTGGCAGACAGCTTAGCTGCCTTAATTAATGGAGCACCAATAATATGGCCCTCATCGTGGGAAGTGATTTGCTGGGTGTTCTCACTGCCCAAGTGTGGATTGTAAGTGCCGCTAAATGGCAAAGTTAGACACCTGCACGAACCCGTAGAAAAAACATTCCTACTTATCCAAGAACAACAATAGTTGTGGCAATCGCGATCAGACAAAAGAGTTTGGCATTGAAATGAGCTGAGCAAACAACAGTGGTGTGGTTCCGCTGAAGTGTCGTGGGGTTCGACTTGATCTCGGGATTTACCCCGCACCCATCAAAGTCATCGAGGCTTTCAAGACTGCAGATCAGCAGCCAACGTGACAATATCTGCCTGTCATTGTTTCTTGAATTTTTCAAACATCATTGTTTATTAATAAAACAATTAAATCGTTTGGTTTGTATTTTAAATTTTAGGAACTTAACTAAAATAACAATAATTAAGGGTGTTACAGAAATCTCTTAAAGAGTTTACAATCTAACTATTAATATCAGGTACTCCTGTGGCTATTTTTAGTAACTTTTAAGTTCTTGATTTGTAAATAGGTTTATAAATAGCATGAACATATATTTATCTTATATATTCTAAATAAATAATATATAAATAACTATTTTATTTTTTCAGCAATAAATTAGAAAAAAGGTTATTCGAATTTTAAGAATTACAAAATTACTTTATGCAGTTTAATGCGATTAATATGGCTTTCTATTTGTGGTAATGTCAGTCATCAGTCATTAGGCTTGTAATCACGTGCTTGGATAATGTGCTCTATAATCTCCGATCTTAACCCCTCCCTGGTAACGCCCTGCTACAGTCATGCGCTGTCGAGATAAGTAAAGTAACCATAAACCATCAAAGAGATATATCTCCAAAGCTGGCCATAATCGTGACAACGACCCTCGAAAAAAAATTAACCAACATAATGTACGATCTTCACATTGATCGTGCCCAGCTGTGGAGCATTATCCCCCCAAAAACCCTAAGTTGCTGCGGTCGAGTGCATTGAAAAAGTATTTGAAAAACCGCACAAATAACAAATCATCTGCGAATCGTTTGGCAGGTGAAAGATGATGACGCACAAAACCATTTAGACGGGCAGCTCGATGAGTTGGCTGTCATTAGGGGGGAGTGGAATCAAATGGAGGGGGAAGCGGTCTTATAGCGGAGTTTAATATCTGTGCGGCATTAATGCAACCCAAATGCATTGTGATGCGAACCGTTAACAGTTGAATGACAGCATACATAAATGGACAAGATGTTTTTTTAATGGCCAACTTTAACAGCAACTTTGTGTTTATTTATAAAGGTGCATCATTAGTGACGAAAATATATTTTATTGATTTAATTGATATATAATATCATAATTGGGCAAAATGATATTGCTCAAAATGTATAACTGAAGCAAAGCAAGCTCAGAATAATCCGGTTTTAAATCGAATGGTGGTGTTTAAAAATATATTAATAAATTACAGCACTCACATTAAGTAGGTGGTTAGATATACATTAACCCGTTTCTAGACTGAACCAAAAATATTTTCATATAGATATCCAAAATATGTCCCATTAACCAAACAAAAGTGTGTCCATCAATCATTTGAAATTAATAACATTACACTTCCTAGTTTATTATTAAACAAAATTTGACCTACTGTGCTTCACTGTACTTGAAAGATACAATCAGGTAAATGTCATTAACAATTGTTGCTAATAACCAAAAAATTAACGAACTGAACTATTATGGATTACGAAAAATTACGAAACAAAAAATTCCAGTATTAAACTGTAAAATGATCAGACTACAAGCTCTGTATTTGTGTATATTTTGGATAAACAACTTTAGCAATATTCAAGTGAGCCCATTTATTCAATGTAAAAGGAGCAGAATTTCTATAACGTTGTTTCCCAAGGTCAAGGGCTCCTATAAGTTTAATTCACTTAATTGCGAAGTTTGCGCTCCAGAGATGGGTCAAGTCAAACAGTGCCACATCAAGGCCATCGATAGAAAGCACAACATGATGAATATTGAGGCCTTTTTAAACAAAACCATATCACAGGTAATTTGGAAACCGAACTACATTTTACGACAACTAACACCTACTGAAGTTTGAGATCCATTTCAAGATTGTTAAACGCGAGAGTGGCGGCTGGCATCCCTTTTTGTACGATATAAGAATGGACATTTGCCAGTTCTTTAAGAACCGACGGAAATTCTTCATTTCCAATCTTATTTATTCTTTTATGAAGCCATTCACAAATGTTAATCACACTTGTCCATACTTGGTAAGTACGGAAATTTAAAGCTCTTGCAACATTAAATGTATTGTGTATATTTATTAATAGGCTGGATCAGAAATGCAACTTTTGAATTGGACTCCGGACGAAGATAAAGTTCTAGCCAAATTTCCAGTAGATCACGGCCAATATGGCCTTCAGACGACTTGGTATGTCAATAAAGTCGCAGCCCTGAAAATAAATGGCTCGGTTTTATTTTTTAAATGATTGTTACTCAGACAATAGTCGAAATCTATTGTACCAAAACTATGTTATTAATAAAAAATATTAAGTTGAAAAAAGAAATAAAATTTTTTCAATTTTTAGTTCTAAACATTAATAAAATCTTCTAAAAAAAAGTTATCTATGGCGTGTTTTACATTTTTTCCGATTAATAGGCTTCTGTATGCAACAAATGTTAGGGTAAAAAGTACAAAAAGCAAACTAAAATTAAAAATTCTTTGTAATTATATTATAGTAAACACTATTGTATTTAGAAATTTAATTACACAATTTTTTTGTTTATGATTTTTTTACTGTGGTGATTAGACACTGTACTCCCATGACAAAAATAGATGCACAGATAAAATCGGCCAAATGCCATTATATAGAAATGATTATTAAAATAATATTAAGGAACGTAACTATTATGGACGACAAAGCTGTAAAAAATTCCAGTATTATCCAATGAAATGAAGAGGACACAAGCTTTTTATTTTTACCTACTCTGGCTAATCAGCCTTAGTTTCATCTATGTGAGTAAGAGTGCAAAGACAGAGGATTTTTTTAATTTTGTAATCTTATTCTTTAGGTTAAAGGTGCCTACAAGTTTAATTCACTCAATTGCGAAGTTTGTGCTCCAGAAATGGGACAAATGCTGCAGTGCGACATTAAGGCAATCGATCGAAAGCGCAACATGCTCAACATCAATGCCATTTTAAATAAAACCGTTTCAGAGGTAATTTGCAAATTAAAAAGACCTTTAGGACATGTACAACTTATTTCTGCAACAGTTTGAGATCGATTTTAAAATGGTTAAACGCGAAATTGGCGGTTGGCATCCGTTTTTGTACGAAATGAGGGTAGATGTTTGCCAATTTTTCAAGAACCGCAGGAAGTTTTTCATCCCCAATCTTATTTATTCGTTTATGAAGCCATTTACGACTGTCAATCACACCTGTCCGTACACGGTAAGTCTGGTCATGAAAATTACTCAAGCTATATTAAATTAATCTTGAGGATTTTTTTATAGGCTGGCGCAGAGATGGGACTTTTGGATTACTCTCCTGACGAAGATGGAGTTATATCAAAATTTCCAGTTGAATATGGCCAATATGGCCTGCAAACAACATGGTACATGAATAAAGTCCAAGCTTTAAAACTAAATGGGTCTGTACTATTTTTTAAATGACGCGTGATATACTTTTTATTGCAAACCAAAAAAATTTGAAAGAGTATTGTACTGTCTATTTATTCCAAATTAATAAAGGTTTACTAAATGTGTTATGATGATTAAATGGTTAATGATTAAATGTTTAAGGTGCCGGAAAATAAATGTATAAAGCTTTTGAAAAGGAGTTTAGCCCTTTATGTCCCTTTATGGTCATATTATATTTTACAATATTTTTGACCACACTTTCTAACCATACCGCTATGCACATGGGGTTATTCAATCGGTGATAAGACGTAATGCCCAACCTGCTTGCATACTAACACAGATTTGAGTGGCAAACAAATTTTTTCGGTTTGTGGGCCACATTCGAGCGTGTCCAGCTTTTGGCCATGCGACTCACGTTTAAGGCAGAAATGGTAACAATTCAACAACAACAAAAAAAAAAGGAAAAGAAGAAAAAGCGAAGCCCGGCAAAGAAAAGCAAAGAGAAATGTTCGTTTTGGCCACAGTTGGCTGCGCATGCGCCCGCCTGATTACCTCCCGTATTTACTTTTAAGCCAAACAAATAAGAGGCGGCTTAAAAAAAGCTGTCATAAATGGCCAACTGCAAGCCACGCACGTTTGCTCTGGGCGAATCGAGGGGAGATTTTGGTGGAGATCGGGATTACGAAGTGCCAACGCGGTTTGTCCAGTTGCGCATGCTAATTTGGGCGCGGGAATCGATCATCGATGGTGGTTGAGTAATTATTTATGTTTGTCTCTGGCTCGGAGGCAGTCACTCTGACTGCCAATCGCCAACCAATCCGTAACTGACAACATTTCTGCGTCTTCATCTCACTCGTTTACACTCTCTTCCGCACAACAATATGCAGAGAAAAAAAATCAGTTCATGGGGTGGCTAATTGAAAAAAGCCGAAATAAAAACCATTAAGTGCAAAATAAAAAACGAATGTTTGGGATATTAAATGTTAATAAAAATATATGTATATATCAATCTGGCGTCCATCCTTACATATTAATCATAAGCTATTAAAGACATAAAGATTTTTACAAATTTTGATTTTTGTATTGATTACTAATCACTTTATTTTAATAAATCATTAGGTGTATGAAAATAATTCAATCAAACACCATGTTATCAGATTTTAATTAAGCAATAGACAAATATATTCACCGGTCATAAATATTCATGTGGGTATTGATTCGAAACAACAATGCAATTTCCATAAATGCCATAATGTGATGATATTAAATAATATAATCAGCTTTGTTCCCGTTTCCAGTAACCTAATTTTAAGATTGCGAATTTTGGAACAATAAAAGGAAAAGGTAAATAGTTTATAAATATTCATGTAGCTCTCAAAATTTAAATGTTAGTAACAATAACATATTGTCTTAATTTTAATGATCAAAATCAACCTTGAACCCTATTTTAAAGACCCAAATATTAGATTGTAAATCAACTGATAAAATTTAAAAATAACACAGATAATTTTAGAAGGGTCTACAGTACCCTCTTTTGTACATATTTCTTTGAGTGTAATTTTCCGCCGACTGTCACCTGCGTTCAACGCTCGCTCAAGTTCGGCAGATCAATCGAAATCGCGGCTTTCAATTGAGCGTTTGTATATGGGCTTTCACTTTCGTTTGGCCACCACTCTCACTCTTGGATTCTCTCGAGCAGTTTCGCTCTTTTTCTGTTTACCAATTTTCATTGCTTTTTTGGTGTAATATTTTCTGAGCCGGGTTTTGCCGATGGCTACTTTGCATGCTGCGCCACTTTGTTGGCTCTTTTGCCTTGCTCGTTTTTATTGTATTTTATGTTCCACATTCGCTTGACTCATCTGTTGGCCGTCTGTTGATTATTTTTACTCAATTCGTTCGTTACCTCACAGTTTGACCGCAAAAAAGCTGTGTGTTACTTAATTGAAATTATGAACTGCAGCTAATCTAAGGCACTTTAGCACCAGCTGACCGCCCGGATCACCAGCTATTCAAGTGGCACAATTTACGCCGCAAACTCAAATAAATTGGATGAGTTCTCGGGATGATAGTCGTCCAGCCAATTGAATAATTGCATTAACTGGCACTAAAAATTCCATGAAAACGCTGGTTTCTTTCGTAATAAAAATAAATGTAAAATTCCAGCAGAAATTGCATTGCTTTATATATTTTAATATTTCATTTGCAGCTTTTGTCAGGGTCGGGAATGTCAAACAATCGATGTGTTAAATTCCAACAAATAACAAGAGAGAACGCTATAGTCGGGTTGTTGTCCCGACTATCTAATACCCGTCACTCAGCTAAAGGGAGTGCGAACGCTGTGTCGGGTTGGTGTTCCGACTAATAATCGTAACTCAGCTAAAGGGAGTGCGAGGGAGATAGATATATAATTTTTGATTGCGTATAACTTTTTAATGAATGGTCCGATTTGAAAAATGTCTTCTACATTTCGATAGGTATAAATATACACAACAAAATTGCATTTATACCTTTCGGAAATCTTTAAAGATGTGGGCGCAGGACCCATTTTAAAATCGTTAGTGGGCGATTGTGGGCGTTAGAGGGGGCGTAGCGCTCGGCTAAAATAAACTTGCGCTGCGTAGGAAGCCAAATAATATGTGTGGGAAATCTCAACCTTCTAGCTTTTGTAGTTTCTGAGATCTCAGCGTTCATACAGACGGACAGACGGACAGACGGACAGACAGACAGACAGACAGACAGACAGACGGACAGACGGACATGGCTAGATCGACTCGGCTAGTGACCCTGATCAAGAATATACATACTTTATGGGGTCGGAAACGCTTCCTTCTAGCTGTTACATACTTTTGCACGAATCTAGTATACCCTTTTACTCTACGAGTAACGGGTATAAATATTTCCCTTGCAGCAGCAAATACCGACGGTAAATCTTTTTTATTAAAACGAAAATAATCCTGCAATGCATCAAATGAAATGTAGCATAAAATAGCTTAACATTGAAAATTGCGAGCATAATGAATTTATAGGCTTAACTATTTATAAAATCGGTAAATACCCCACACAATTATAGTGAAATTCTAAAGAATTTATAGACAACGAATAAATTTTGTAAAATTAATGACGAGCTCACATTTCTCGTAAAAAGTAAGGTTTAAACATTAAAAATGTATGGACATTTAATGTTTAAAGCATACTTTAAATTTAACATGCGGACAAGAAAATGGAACTAAATCTCGTTAAAGCCATGCCAAAGCAAACACTTCATTCATCCTTCACATAAATATATGGATGTCGAATTAAATTATGTAGATGTAAACGTGTCGCCAAACTTGCCATGCTTCAATCAGTAAGACAATGCCTAATTAGTTTGTGATTCAATTATGGGCACGTTCCCCGTTGAAATGGAGAAATGGAGAATCAGCACGTTGCACTGCACAAGTTGAGAATGAAGGGTGTGGCGAAATTTAATGCCTTTTGGCAATTGCAGATGTTGAAGATTGGAGCGAAATGCAGGGATTTAAAGGGGCTTATGCAAGAAGGACCCTGACGAACGACCTCGCCCAAGTGAATTTACTTTGGGAAATGGGCATGAATCTCTTCCTGCTGAAGACACTTGTTTGCTCGCTGCGTCAGCTGTCGGTGTTTTGTTTCAAAACAGTTTCGTTTATTGGCCCTGAAGCGGCATCACCATGAACAGTCATCAGCCATTTGGCTAACGATAGCCCAAAACGTGTTTTCCCCAGCATCCGCACCGTCCGGAGATAAATTCCAGATTTTTACTACGTTGCTCGCTGATTTGCCATTGCTATGGCTACTAATATTAGCTTCTGCTCTCGGCGCTTTAATTGAATGAAAATAGGCGGAAGGCAAGTGCAACTGCTATCGTTATGAACGAGTTCGTCATTCACTTTCTGGACAAGAGCAAAACAGGGGTCACTGGGTTTGAAACTTTTTTAATTTGGTAAAATTATACATACTTTTTGATTGCTTTACACAAATGAGAGAAATGCAGTTACGCAGTAAAATGAAACATGAACATAAAAACTAAAGTTTTATAACTTTTTGCAAACGAATATGAATAGTTCAGGTTTAACTTATTTTATGAACAGTTTTCCATTCAACTCGTTTGCCGAAATAGAAATTATAAAGCTTTTAATTTGGGTGCAATACTTTACAATATTATGATAAGAAAAAAATATATAACGTTATATAGTCGCAGTGAAAATGCCATTTTGTTGTGCTTATTAAACCTATCGAAATGTAGAAGAAAATTTTAGAATCGGACCATCCATTAAAAAGTTATGAGCAAAAAATGAAACATCCGCTAGATGGCGCCAGTAGCTTTGACGAGTGCATGTATCTATCTCCCTCGCACTCCCTTTAGCTGAGTAACGGGTATCTGATAGTCAAAGTACTCGACTATAGCGTTCTTTCTTATTTTTTTATGTCTCCCTTGCGATTTTACAAGAATCCCATTTCCAATTTTATGAAAATTCCATTATGCTGCACCAGAAGCTGCATGACTTCTAATTGGCCAATTACACTTGCAATCCCTTGAAAAGCTCTGTAGCAAGTCCACCTCTATTTTTCCACAAAAAGTCAGAAAATCCATCTTCGATTTTTCCTTTATTCTGCAACTCTCCTTTCGAGGATGCTTCAAAGTTTTGTGAATGGCTTCTTGTTGGCTGTCCAAAGCGTTTTGCTACCCAGTAACTTGTTTGTTTAAAGTTTGTGTTCGTCAAGTTGATAAATATTTAATCGTGAGGAACGGCTAGGGGCAAAGTTGTAGAAGTATGGAAAGACGGGTATCCACTTTAAATGTAAATGGAAATATATTTACAAGCAGATGTTGGCAAAACACATTGGCAATTTAAATGCATTTGCATTCGTGTTGGGGCTCTGCCAAACGGAGTAGCAGATATTATGTCGACATAAGCAAAACAAGAAAATTCATTACGCCTTCAAAAACACGAAGATTCTACAAGGGAATATGGGAAATGAGAATTCATTTATTTATAAAATATTATAATTGT